TTACAAGAAGAATTCAAGTAAATAAAGATATCTAGTTATAAACATTTTGTTGAAAATTCTTCTGTTGAAACTTTTCAAAACGGAGCAAAGTAACCCCGGTTTACAGTACTTTAAATTAAACTAAAACCCAAATTTTAAGTACTCAAAATGGAGGTAGCATAAAAAAATGTTTGCTCCCAATCAAACTTCCCCCTAGGAAAATTCTAGGAGCGCCACTGATAATATATATTAAAATTTATAAAAATTTATAAATTATTGTTTCGTTACACTCTGTATATTAATTACAAAAGAAAAATACCGCAAGAAAGTAGACTCGAAACAATATTATTTGTATTCTACGGACAAGAACTTAAATTGTATCATTATATCATTATTTAAAAATGTTGGTCCAATTATTCAGATTTTCTTATGAAATTTTTCCACGTTTTTATGAAATATCTATTCACTCTAGCACAATTGCGACTTAGTGTGAAAATTACATTTTGTAAGTATTTTTTATGAGATTGTGATAATGTAAACAATAAAATCATTTTAAATTTCTAAATAACAGCTCACTTTCGAACATTGTTACTCAATTTTGTGTCCTACTCAATCGAGAAATCATTTTTACTTTATTATTATGACATAGTCTAATATTACTTTATACCATTAGATGCCATTAGATAAATTACCTTGTTAAGTTCTCAGTTTGCAGACAAACTGTTGAGAATAAATCACAAAATTATAACAAAGTTTTCGTATTAAATAAGGCGTATTCAAAATAAAAAAATATATTAACGTCGTATTTTGTTTTTATGTTTTTTTTTTAAATAACAAACCAATTATTCTTGTAACTCAACTGTATCTACCTAACTTTAATCCAGGAAATTAAGCAAAAACAGTGTTTTTTGACAATCACGCAACTACTATCTAAAAATTGTTTTAGTTCTAATGGATAGATTACAGCAAAAACTTTTGATACAGTTAAACAGAGTCGACTTATCTAATTACTCAAAAAGAAAAACTTGAACACCAAGGACATCCGAATTACTAGCAGCCCCTATTACAATCAGAAAACTGTATTAAACGATTAGAAATGAAGTATCGGATGAGATCGAACTTGAAAGGGATGTCAAGAAGGATATGTGCTGTGCTAAAGAACTTCTCTTTGGGAGAACTTTTTCAACAGACGTAAAAGACGAATAGATATTCAATCAACAAATCCAAATAAAATTCCTGATCTTATAATTTCTTTATGATTAGAAACGTATTGTAGCGTTTTTAAATAAAACGCGTTCTAATTTATATAAATATATTTATTTATAAGTTTAGAGTTCGGTAATATCTTAACAACTCCACCAACTCCTAACATCGATACATATATATACCGAAGTTACTATGTTCTAGAACATTTCCACCTCTAATTCACCTACGTGACGGGTTGTTCTCTCTCGCACTCGATATCCCTGTAAACTTCGAGTCGCTGTCGAGATGCAACCGCTACACAGGACACGCTGAATGCATGTTCGTAACACTGCTCCCCTCTTAGATCTGAGCGTCCCGATCAGCAACTCTATACGTAGGCCCAGGATGGCGGAATCTACAGGACTCTCCAGCTCTGCATGAACCCCTCAGAAAGAAATAACAGTCTACTGTCTTTAAAGGACACGATCTCTTCCGATTAGTGCAACACACAGTAATTCTTACGCCGGTTTCTCGGAAGATCACTTCAAGCATGCTTCTGACAATTTTCCAATCCAGATTATCTAGTGCATGGCCTATCTTGGGTAAGGCCAAATTCTTAATGTCGTAATTGCAGACGATTGTCTTCAAATTAGTTAGAGCACGCTATATCACGTATGTTGCCATGTCTGTATACCACTTTCTGGTCACCATATACAGCAAAGATCGAAAACCATCTTCTAATCTCAGTACTCTTCCAACATTAGGCTGCTGGTTTTTTAACCCGTCCAAACGACCGAATTTCTTATAAAATACAGATGAGATTCCTTTAGTCATCTCAAGATCTTGGGCAACACAGTGCGCTAGAGAGACGTTATGCGGAACACTAAAAAGATCCTGCTGAACTTGATACAACTTTGGACAGGTGTTTTGGACGGTTCATCCTCTCGACCATTCCGTCTGATTGAGGATGCAGGGGTGTCGTTCTGATCTTATTGACACCAATCAATTTACAAACAATTAATAAACAAATTAGACCAAATACTTTGTGATTTAGTTGACAAGGACTCCATCATTTTTCTGGCTGGTGATTTTAACTTGGATATACTGCTTGAGGGTGCGAGCTGGCCAGGCACATTAAAAATGTTTTTGAGCTCCTTTGATATTAAACCTTCCATTAAAGACTATACACGCATACAAGGTAACAAAAAATCCTGTATAGATAGTATTTTTACAAATCTTGACATATTTGATTCTCTTCTTCTATTGATTGATATTGATTCTAAAATTTGAATTAAATGAAGTTGGGTCAAATATAATAAAAAAACGAAGATATAGCAAGGAGAGTAAACGTTTTTTTAAATTCATGTTAAGTAATGTAGACTTCGTATCTGTTTTTAAGACATTAGAAGTAGAAGTATTTGGCCTACCACATAGAGTATTATTATGGGGGTTAAAATTTGGGGACAGAAATTACGGGGCTAGAGATAGGGCAAGCAAAATAAAGGAAACTGTTGCGAATGGCTCTCAAGGTTTATTTGGAGAATTGGGTCGTGGATAAGAGAATGAAGCAATGGGATTGGATTGATTGATGATAATTGACACATTACATTGAGTAAAAATCACTTTTTTCAACAAATTTGCCGGTTTTTTTTATACTAAACACAACGACGTCTGTTGTCCTTGACCAAATATTCAAAATTGACTTTACTTCGACCTTTCTCGTACCGGCCGGCTTCCTATGCCACACTTTTCCCCTCTAACCGGTTCTCGCAACGAAACAACCCAAAATTTTTGCCAATCATGCTTCTCATCGTATCGTAAATGTCCTTGACGTACACATAACTATAACCATATTTAACTTCGCAGTTACAACTGGAATTTGGAATTCTTTTCTTCACATCACAATATAAACAGAGAATCAGGGAAATATTTATACTTGGCCCAGGGTCGTACAAGATAAATTTTATACTTTGAATATCCGATAGTTTGAATTTTCTGCATGCTACACCTTGTAACAATTATGCTTTTCATTGGTTGTTGTCTCTGTAATGATACAGATTGTAAATAAGCATAATAATAAAAAAGTGTATGTTTTCCAATGACGAAAGACCAACACAACCAACGCGCAAACTTCCTTCCGAAAACTTATCAGGGCCATCAATAATGCGAAGTGAAATAGAATATGCAGTTAGAACCACAAAGATGCATAAAGCAACAGGTCCAGATGAAATTAATATAGAAGCAATAAAACTACTAGACGAGGAGAATATCGAAATCTTGGTAAGGCTGTTCAATAGAATTTATGATACTGGTTACATTCCGCGAGAATGGCTGCAGTCATCCTTTGTGATGATCCCAAAAACAGCTAATGCCACAAAATGCAATGAACACCGCTTAATCAGTTTAATGAGTCACTTGTTGAAACTCTTCCTTAGGATATTACACTCAAGAATGTATAAGATACTAGAAGAACTTAGCGGGTCAACACAATTCGGTTTTAAGGGAGGACTAGGAACAAGAGAGGCAATTTTATGTTTGAACACCTTAATACAAAACTGCTCAGATCAACGAAAAGATGTCTACCTCACCTTCATCGACTACGAGAAGGCATTTGACAATGTTAAACATGATATCATGATGGAACTACTACATAGGGCCAACATTGACCAGAAGGAGATCAGAATTATTCAGAATCTATACTGGAACCAAATGGCAAAGGTGAGGATTGATCAAGACCAATATACGGATGAATTTGAAATCCGGAAGGTGTCCGCCAAGGCTGCATACTCTCTCCGATGCTTTTTAATTTATATGTTGAAAATATATTTGCGGAAGCATTAGAAGATACGGAATTAGGCATTAAGGTGAACGGCATACCAATTAGCAACCTACGCTATGCGGACGACACAGTGATTATAACGGATAATTTGGAAGATCAGCAGTTATTACTTGATAGGGTGAATAGCATAGGTAAAAAATATGGCCTCAAAATCAACATTTTGAAAACGAAATATATGGTCATTAGCAGAAACCCTCCAGAAAACCCGATATTATGCATAGGTGACAATCGTATAAATCGCGTGATAACTTTTAAATACCTTGGCACCACAATCAATGACCAATCGGATCCACAACACGAGATAAAAACCCGAATACAAATGGCAAGACAAGCTTTTGTGAAATTCAGACCGCTCCTATGTAATCAACACCTAAACTTCGAAATACGCTACAGAATGGTCAAGTGCTACATATGGTCCATCTTGCTTTATGGCATGGAAACGTGGACTTTGAAAAAAACATCTATCAACAAACTTGAAGCATTTGAAATGTGGTCATTGAGAAGAATGATGCGCATACCTTGGGTGGATAGAGTTCGAAACGATGACGTCCTTAATAGAGCCGGCGTGGAAAGAGAACTCTTTGAATTAATTAAAAAACGCAAGATTGGTTACCTTGGGCACATATTGAGAGGAGCAAAATATGAAATACCACAGTTAATCCTACAAGGGAAGATCGAAGGTAGGAGAGGAGCCGGCCGCAAACAATTGTCCTGGTTAAGGAATATTAAAGAATGGACAGGAATACACAATACAGGTGAGCTGTGTCACGCCGCCAAGAACAGAATTTAGTAATGAGATAGTCGCCTACGCACTTTGGTGTATGGCATGTTAAGAAGAAGAAGTATGTTTTCCAGTTGTTAATTTTATTATATACTGAAGTTCTACTTTGATACTTTTAAGAGTAATATATGTATAGACTATTAGGTTTGTTCAATTCTTAAATTCTACAAAATAGGCTCAAAAATAGAATTTTAATTGTTACTTTTTTCTTTTCAGAAAATGCAATGATTCGCAAGTGTTCATCAATAATGGTTGGACCCACTGTATTAATACGTGTAAGGAAAAAACGGAGTGTGGGCAAGTCGAAGTCCCAGAGGGACATCTAGACGCGTGTAGAGTTTGTAATTCTACTGGCCAAAATTGTGGAATTGCTAAAGGTTCACATGCTGGAAAAGGTATTGTAGATTCCGACTTCGTCTTGTATGTATCTGCCATGGAATCAGAAAGATGCAATAAAACTTTAACTGTGGCTTACGCCGCATATTGTCAACAGGAGAATACTCTAGATCGGTAAGTTTATTAAATTATTATCATATTCAAATAGTTTATAGTCAAAAAATTAAAACTTGACAGTTTTTGTGTAATTAAAACAGAATACAAATTGCGTAAACTTCCTTCCTTCTGCATTATTGATTAAGATGCTTTAAAGTATTATTTGTTTCAGCCCAATCGCAGGTCACGCAAATTTATGTCCCGAGAGCATTAGTACAAGGCAACAAGACATTGAAATCTTACTAGCAACAGTCAAGCACGAGATTCTCCACGCACTGGGTTTTTCGATTAGCTTGTACGCATTTTACAGAGATGCTGATGGAAATCCACTTACTCCTAGGAGCAAAGAGACAGGGAAACCACCACTCAACGAAAAGTAAGTACAATTTTACTACAAATATTTTGACAAAAAGTCAACGATTTTGAGCCCCAAGTTAAAAAACTCGGATTATAAACATGACAGTAAGGTTAAGGATAAAAAAGGTCGACTGCATGTACTAATTAGTGAATTTTTGAAACGTACTCTGTTTCATAAACGGCGATGTCAGGAACAACTCCTAAATCCTTGTAACAGCAAATTGTTGGTAATTATATGAGACTTTGAAGAGGTGATTTTATAAAATATAGACATAAAATCATAAAAGTACATTGCATAAGCTTTAAATAATTAGGCTCTTGTAAGTTTAATTTCGATCAATTATTGTTGCATAATTAGCGCTCAAAGTTGACAAACGCTACTTTATGAAAATTGCCATATTTTTTGTAAAAATGCTCGTATAATAATTATTCATCATCACTAATCAGCCAATCGCGTCCACTGCTGGACATAGGCCTCCCTCAGTTTGCCATTGTGGTATGTGGTCTCGAAGGCTCACATTCAGCATTGCACGTTCCATGGCTCGTTGTGTAACTCTGAGTTTATTCGCAGATTTTTGCGTGAGTGTTAAGTCTCTGCTCCATAAGTTGGTACAGGCAAAACACATTGGTTATAAACCTTTCGCTTGAGACACATGGGAATTGAACTTTTTAGAATATGGCTTAATTTGCCAAATGCTGCCCATGTCAGACCTATTCGCCTCTGTATTTCATGTGTTTAATTGTCTCTGCTTATTTTGATCTCGTGTCCCAGATATTTGTTAGTGTCTGTTTTTTGTATGGTATTATTGTTAATAGTTATATTTCCACTCAATATGAGATTTGTCATAAGTTTAGTTTTTTCAAAATTTATCTTTAATCCTGCTCTTTCAGACAGACTTTTAAGCGAATGTATCATACAAACTGTATGCTGTAAGTTATCTGCGATTAATACATCATCTACAAACCTTAGATGATTTAATCTTTCTCCATCTATATTGATGCCCATATCTTGCCATTGAGTGTTCTTAAATATTGACTCTAGAGCTGCCGTGAACAATTTTGGTGAAATATTGTCTCCTTGTCTAACTCCTCTACCTTAGCTGAATTTTTCTGTGTCTTCGTGTAGTCGTATACTTGATGTAGTGTTCTAGATGTTTTTGATTAGTGTCGTGTAATAATTATTATACCGACAATACTAGGGTGGATCGATTAACATCCATCATAACATATTATCGCAACCATCTCCAAGATCTCTACACTTTATTACCTTTCCAACCAGTTCCTGCACACGAAATACACCAATCCTTCTCCTCTGCGTAAAATCGGCGAAATCTTCCGTTACCTGTCTTGCTTCCGACGTTGAGAATTATAATTCTCAGGATTTTATTGAAAAGTTATATTACCGCCAAAGTTGTGGTGTGAAATCTGATAATGGGTGCACGCGAATGGCCGCTAGAAAGAGATAAACATGTATATAAGAATGGAGATTTCCATTTCTAATGACCAGAGATTCAGAATCGGTCGTTACAGGCAGTGGTCACTTTATAGGTACGTCAAGTACTCGATTACAACTGAGCCGTAGGATTCCGCAGTTAATTCGGAGGCCCCACTAACTTGTTTCATGTTTGTTTAAGTCAATGTAATGTAATAAACATTTAAACAATGCTGCACTATGATGTCGGCCCACATACTTGGTACATGAACCTGCTGATGGTTTCTGTTTTTCGCATTTTCGATAATCCCACTGATGATCCTAATGAATGAATGTCCCACTACCAGAAACCTGTGGTCGACAGTATCAATTTGTGTCCTTTGGACTACATAATGCCAGAACAATTTTGTTTGCTTTGCAGAACTTTACAGAACTTTTGTTTTGGCCACCACAGTTGTCACTGTACAGAATTATGCGCTTAACGGTTGGTGGCAACGTCTGGATGTATTTCCAAAGGCAAGAAGCAATTTTGTTGCAACCACGATTACCTTGGCCTTTATGCCACAAAAACATATGCGCCTGTCCAGTGCAAACATTGTGCACACTAAAATTATAAGTCCAAAGTTGACAGCTCTAGTATGCTTTTTTGCAGGTTAAACTAAGAGTTGGAAGCTTTTGTAAATCAAAGCAAACAACTACTGTTGTTGGGTCATCTTTGAAATTCGATGCATCATCATCCTTTGCATTTTTTGCAGCTTGTGCTTTGCGCAAGTGTAATTCTTTTTCAATTTTGCTGTTGCAACTCTTTCTGGATCAACACCATTATTAATATTCTGTAGTGTGCCACATTTGTCACACGTATTGGTGTGAGGTCTCTTGAGTAAAAGGTTAAAATTAGTACGGAAATTATACCTATAGTAACTCTCCTTCGCAGAGTTTACGTTTCTTTCCATACACAGTTCTACATACAAAGTGTAAATTTTTTTCATTGTCAGTTCCACGCTCAAATACTTCACATTTGGAGATCTAATCCTAGAGTAATGGCTACTGTACTTAGGAAGCGACTTTAAGTGCTCTTTGATTAAGTAAATGGATTAATCTGTTGTTTTATTCGATGTAGCTTCACGACCTCTTTGGTCCTTGTGAGAAACCGAGTTTGTGCTGGTCATTGTTTTCATTATATCATTAGTAATTCGTTTATTACTGACATCAGAGGTTTTCATAAAAAAAGCCTTACATACTCTATACCCTTCTAATGTGTAAGTACAGCTTGTTCTCTTTAAATAGCTCGCATTAGGTTTTTTTCTTGCAGGATCTTGAAGGCTAATGCAAGAACATAAAAAAGAAGTTTGAAGGTCCCAGCTTCCAAGTCCCCAATAACTGTCAAAAATAGTATTACAAACGTATCTGCAGTTATGGTTCAACTCTTCCATACGCTTTGCTCGATGCACTGTTCCTTTTCAGTCAGTATAAAGATGCCCTTCATTTCTTGCCTGCTTTGCACGTACCCGTGCCCAATTGTCTGACCTTCTCAGCCTTTTCTTACCGGGGTTTTTGTTATGTTCTTTCCATGGTCCTGGTTTAGATAGTTCAGGTTCTACTTCGGATTCACTGTCACTGTCACTAGATTGAGGCTGGTATGTAGAATCTGCATCTGAGTCGTCTGAAAAATAAGACATGCGCTAGTTTTATCTGATAATAATCTGATTCATAGCCTTTATAAACACAATCTATGGGTTTTACAGAATTTTCACTTACCGCTAAAGAGGTTATATTAAGACTCCTGTTCTTCATCTACAATACTTGCGATGTCGATTTCGATTAAGGTAGCAAAACTTTGGTTACTTTACTCTTAAAGTTGTCAATTATCGTAGAATAATATGGGTAAAGTTTGAATTATACGACAGCAACAGTGGCTACAAGCGTGTACAACATTCAACAACAAACAACTCTGATGACAGTCAGTTGGAGGCCAAGGGGTACAAGTGGCGCTTGTACCTCTTGTCTTCTCAGGAAAACAGCTGATGTTTAGGTAGTACTTATACCATCCGCTAGATTGCAGCACTGTACAGTGATACGCTTGTATACCTTTGGCACAACAATATTTGACTCCATAGCAACTACTTAGTGCACTTAACTCCATTTTGTTTACAATTGTACTTCAAATTAAAATACTTTAACTAGTTTATTAAAATAAGCAAGATAAACAAAAAATTGCAAACTATGGATTGTTACTAAAAATCCTAAATTCTAAATAAAAAAAGCAAAATGCTTATAATCCGGACTTTATTACTTATCAACGTAACTTATAAATATTACATGTAAAATAAACTAAAATGTCTGAACATTTATTTTTCCTTGCAGACTTGAAATATATCAGTGGAGTGACAAGGTTATTAAAACCTTCGTCAGGAACAACTGGCTGGTGAGAAGTGGCTATGTTAAAAAAGAAGTTCAGATGATAGTGACGCCTAACGTTGTCCGAGAAGTTAGAAAGTTTTTTAACTGTAGTGAACTGGAAGGTGCCGAATTAGAAGACCAAGGAGAGGACGGAACAGCTTTGACCCATTGGGAGAAAAGAGTACTTGAGGTAAGTATCGTCTGCGTATATACAGAACAACAGGTCATTGTAAAAGAAATCAGATTTTGTCCTGTACACTGGTCATATGTGGGCGTCTCATATCAGGAGCTTGGAAGCGTAAAGGCAACTGCAAAAACCCGTTTCTGGAAAACTGAGTATAGAGTAGGTATAAAGTTTAAAAACATGTTAAAATAGTAAGGGCGATCAAGTTTTATTTTATTTACAAAACTTAAAAGAGGATAAGTTCTAAAGCTATTTATTTGTGGCATGTTTGATAAAGGTATAGATTTATGGAATTTAGCCACAATTGGTTGTAAGGATAATTACATTTTTTTTTAAAGAAAGAGAATTTTTTTTAATGTAATTATCATTACAACCAATTGTGGCTTCATCCCATAAAACTATACCATTATTAAAAGAGGATTTTGCCAGATATGCAAGATTTTTATAAAATGAAAAGAAAAGGGGTTTAATATTTTTTATTCTACAAAAATAAACATAGTTTTGTTAACAAAGTATGTGGAAGCTAAGAGCAGTAAAATAATTTGCAAAATTTATAAATAATGCTTCAATTAAACTCAATTTGAATTTCATCGTCTACAGTTTCTTTGACTTCAGTTGTACTAATTCCTTCACTAATATCTTCTTATAAAACACGTTTGTGAGGCCCGGGTACATAATCAAGAAGATCGTGCAAGTCCTTTTTCTTTTCTTCTGTAAGCTTGAGAGCACTCTGGTATTTGAGAGGAAGTTCTATACTATCTAAGTTAAAATTGATTACATCGTGGAGTTTCTTTCGTCCCTTTTGGAGTATGACATTTGTAGGAATATCCGTGTTATGTGCGTTTTGAATTTTAAAGCTCATTTAAAAATCTTTTGAAAATTCGAATATTCTGCCATCCTTGAAGTTAGCTCCCAACATTTTTCTTTTGTAGTATTGTACGTTACAGGTAAGTTTAGGCGCGAGTAATGCTTATTGTAAATCAATACATACAACTTCAGTACTTTCATCCTTTCAACCTTTACAGAATAGCGATGATGATTTCCAACCTCCGCTAGGAGAAGGAACCCGAAGAAGAAGACAGAATTTTAGCAATATGAAGGGCGAAACATGCTTTTAAAATATACACAAGCATTCTTTAAAGGTTTGTGCGAAAGATGAGACTGTTTTTTAAACGTCCACTTTGCGAGTTCGGCCTTACACTTCCAAGCTCCTGATATATAGTTGAGGCAGAAACAATTTACTTAAAATTTGTTATGGTCGCTGTCGGTCATTTCAGTCAGCTAGGGTTAGATACATACAGTAGATCCGCCAGATCTTTGCCCATTTTTTCTAGTAGTTTTTACTAGTAATAAATGTGTTCTTTTACTTTCAGAATGAAGCCATGACTGGCATACACACCCAGAATCCCATAATATCTAGAATAACGTTAGCACTTATGGAAGATACTGGCTGGTACATAGCCAACTACTCAATGGCAGATACAATGTCGTGGGGCAGGAACCTCGGTTGCGACTTCGTCATGAGAAGTTGCAAGGATTGGATCACCACAAAATCCGCTAGGTAAGTTTTTATTTATTTTTATTTAGTTAATATTATTAGGTAATCAAAGAGGCGTGGTCTATTGTTGCAGGACTGGACTTGTTGTGTTCGGTACCAGTCGAATAGCTATTATCTTTTAGAGTAGTCATGTGATACTTTTTCTTAACATTTCTTTCTGTATTAAGAAGACATTTCGATCTAATAAATAAACTGTTTGTGTATATAATTATTTGTCTGCTAATTTAAAGTGCATATAGTAGTTTTAGTGCAGTTGAATTTTGTGTATCAGTAGTCGCACACAGTCTACTACATCGGTCATAAAATAGTCCTCTAGATGCATTTTGTTTAAAATTCAATAAATTATTATTGACATTTTTGTTTATTTAAAATGTTTTACGTAGCACAAAAAATAGTCCACAATTTTTGTAATAGTTTGATTTATTCTCTTTTTTACTAAACAAATTACAATTAATTTAAAATTAGAAGATAACATATCAGTCTTCAAGAACTAAAAAAAATAAAACATTATTTCACATCATACAAGACATCATAAAAGATTAATTACTATTTAACTGGGAATAAGCCACAATTAAAGATAAAAATAGGTTTATTGACGTTTCAATTTCCACTTCGGAAATCGTTCTGTTTAACTGTGGGTTAAAATTATTGCAAAAGTGTCGAAAACGTTTATTAACAATAATTGTAACAGTAATTTTGTTGTTTTATCGTATTCTTATATTAATTATTCTTTATTATCGTTAAAAAATCAACCATAAGTATTCATTCTCGTTCGAACCTTCGATGTAAACAAGTATTGAAGTAGTAATTAATATAATTACCGTGTCATTCCGTAATTAGTATCGATATCAAGAAACTTAATACAAGAACCGGAAAAAGTGTTGGTGTTAAATAGTAAACTAATTAATCCGTACAGAATTACTACACATTAATTATTTATTACCCAAATTAACATACCTATATATGAAAATAAAAATATAGTCCGGTATATTATGGAAAATATTTCCGATTGTTTTAAAAATCCTCGATGGAGCTTGTAATTGAATCGGTATTTTCATAAACAACATAAGTCAGTTTTTGGCAGTATTGACATTTCTTCATAAATCCGTTTTTTATACGTCAACGCACCATTCTAAGCAAAAACGGCGTGGCCGGCTCCACACATGAGATCCAATATTGGGTCAACTGTGTTCCCACGTTCGATGAGGCATCCACACATTGGGTTGAGTATTGGTGCAATATCAGAGAAAACGTCAACATGTCCGACATTGAAATTGCAGCAGCTGCGACTGTCGTTATAATGAGTGCATATGATTATATTTTGCTACAAAAACGGCGAATTTTACGCCATCTTGTCTACAGCGTTACATAAAGCTACTAGATCTTTAGAGATGCCGTATTTGGCAAATGCAGACTGAATATATGAGTATAAACCTGACGTCGAGGCTCTGAATCCCATTTATTCTTTTATTTACTCAATTCCAAAATTTCTTAGCATTTTATTTTGGTTATATTCTGCATCAAACGTGACTTTAATCACAGTCGATATATGAAAGTACATATTTTAAAAGTTAGACGACTACACGACGGTGGTCTATTAGGACAAAATGATCTATATTTCAAAATTAAAAGCATAATATACTTTTGTAAAATATTTAGATAAAAACATTTTTTTGGTGCCTGAAGGTACTGAAAAAACCAGATAGGTATATTATTTATTTATGTAAGAAACATGATACTATAACAAAACAAGATAAGTCAACGCGCATGTTCTTGTGACGCAAGCTCGAGACAACTTGCCAAAATGCCAAATTGTCAAAATTAATGACAGCAAGTTAAACTTTAAAATTAAATTTAAATTTTTCACTTGATGCAATTCTAGTTATATAAAGAAAAAGAATTAATATTAATAACAGCAGAAAATTAATATATTAATATTAATAACAGCAGAGCAAATGTTTCTATGGATAATAATAAATGTTTCTATAGATAATAATATATACTAATGCCCATTTTAATAGAACTTGAAGTAATACTTTACTTTTGATAGGTCTTTAAAAAAGTTACTTTGGATGTATGTAGTATGTAGTGAACTGGAACATATTTTTCGTAGTTATAATGCCGACACATTAAAAATATTGTTCTGAAGCTATTTTCTTGTGGCATTGTAAATCAATTACTATTAAACTGGGAATAAGTCACTATTAAAGATAAAAATACGTTTATTGACGTTTCAATTTCCACTTCGGAAATCGTTCTCAAAATACAAACAGTAAATTAAACAAATTTTGTTTTTTGTTACATAGTGAAAAATTCTTCTAATAATTTAATTTTATCTGACTCATTTATATTGACAATTCAGACATACATTATACATTTTAAAGTAGACGACTTTAAAATGATATTGCCAATATTGTTGAGTTGCGTTCCTGGGACGACTTTACTTATAAGATAGTTCATTCGATTACATGAAATCAACTTTAACTTGAGAATATCCGTCAGAAATTAAAGACGAATTACATGCTATGATTTTTTTTCTGACGGATATTCTCAAGTTAAAGTTGATTTCATGTAATCGAATGAACTATCTTATAAGTAAAGTCGTCCCAGGAACGCAACTCAACAATATTGGCAATATCATTTTAAAGTCGTCTACTTTAAAATGTATAATGTATGTCTGAATTGTCAATATAAATGAGTCAGATAAAATTAAATTATTAGAAGAATTTTTCACTATGTAACAAAAAACAAAATTTGTTTAATTTACTGTTTGTGTTTTGAGAACGATTTCCGAAGTGGAAATTGAAACGTCAATAAACGTATTTTTATCTTTAATTGTGGCTTATTCCCAGTTTAATAGTAATTACATTAAAAATAACAAAAAATGATTTAAAAAACTTAATAGAAGCTGCAAAATATGTAAATGTTAGCGAAGATGTAAAATTACTTTTTTTTAGATGTAAAATGTATTTTAAAATAAGAATTCTAAATCAAAATATTAAAGATAATTACAATAGGTACCGTAAAAGAAAAATCACAAATATTTTAAAATAGATGTCTAAATGATATTCATAAAGTCTCAAGTTTGACCCGCTTTTCCTTTATGGTCAAATTCTTTACATTTTGCCGGCTTTTTATATTTAATTTATGTTTTGTAGCAATATTTATTTTGATTGTAATACACAAAATCAAATCGTAGATTCATATATTTCTTTAATTAATTTTACAAATTACTTAATAATTTTCAAAACACGTTTTCACAGAAAGTAACTAGTTATGACTTCTTAGTGCAAGATATGGTATCGAGGTATACTTACCTTTAACACTTTAAGTTTTTTAAAAACTTTAAGTTTTGAAGTTGTTCATTACAGTAATGGAACAACGTTGCCATATGATGCATCGTTAAAATATGATACATACAAGTCCCTTGGCTTTGTCTCGCTATGACGACATGCGCAAAGTCAATTAAAATTAGAACAGCAAGTGAGCATATCTTGTTGTTATAGTATCATGTGTAAGAAATAGCCTTTTGAGTATAAACCCCGTTCTGACAGACAACCGACGTGTATCGGAGTGTTAATCCTAAAGATCTCAACGGAGACATCTCAGGTGGCCGAAGATCGATTTTTACTTGTTGCAAATTTGTTTTTTAATGCCGCCATGTAACGGAAATTTTCTTCGATAAAATAATTTTTATTTTCTAAAAAGAATGCTGTGTAAAATGGCAGCACAAGCGTTTTAAAAGAAAAAAAAGCTTAAGCAAAGTTATAAACTGTGGCTTGTCATTGGTTTATTTTCTTTTGCTTTGCTAGATTGTGCAAAATTAGGTTTCTAATTTTATTCAGGTTGCGAAAATTACGCGCCAATAACTAACTTATGCGACAATAGCATAATTATATGTCGATTGGAACACTGCTGTAGCGCCAATGTGTGGTCGGCATCAACAGTAACACCAATATTGGCGCCAATCCCTTTGATGTGTACGCAAAAAAACCGACAGTCCACGGAAAACTCTCAACGTTGGAGCAAGTCATAAAAATGTTGTCTCCAACACAGTTTTGTCGGTACACACATTGGACGAACGTTGTTGGGAATAAATGGCACAAATAATGATCTGAATTTAGACAAAAGTCAAAAAGAGGTAAAAAAGACAATTATAATCCAGAAATTATTAAGAAAGCGAGGCTGTGTGGGGAAGAATATGAAAATTATAAAGGTAATGTTGTACCTGCAAGAAAACCAGGAGGAGACTATCGGTAACTTAAGATTAAGATAGTTTTAAAACGTAAAATTATTATATATTTTTTGTAGTTGTCGCTTGAAATGCTTTGAAAAAGTTAATGCAGATGTAAAGGCTAAAATACTTACCAAATTCAGAAGCATGCTTACCAAGAATGCACAAGATTGATACTTACAAGGACTTATGGGAGAGTGTGAGCTAAAAAAGAGACGACCTCGAAATGAAAACCCAAAGAATAGAAGATATGAGGCCATTATTTGCAAAACTTGCTCTTTGCTCGAACGTAATTTGTTGGGAAATCGAAAAAAAAAAACGATTAACGGCCGAGTAGTGTTTAGCTCACAACGTAAAAATTTTTATTTTACCGACAGACATTATAGCCGACACGTAAGAAAACACATTTGTTGGTCTTAAATTATCGGTAGAAGTTCCAGTAACAATTGTAAAATTATTATAGTTTATTTGCTGGCTGAAATATGCTGCTTGATCAGGCAGTCTAGGCAGTGCTAAGTGTTTTTGGCAGTCGAACGAAAAGTAAGTTGTGTTGGGTTTTGGATTTTTAAGGGGTTTGAAAAAAGTCTTTGCTGTTACGATATGAATACGATGCTCAGTGGCTAACTTTTGCCGAACAGCTAAAGATGTTGCTACTTTTAACTGCTTCTTTGTTCTCAAGCAATGGAGCAACAGTCAGTCAGCGGAGTTCCAAAAGCGATGTTGTAGTTAACATTCACATACTTTCGAAAATAACTAAGCTTTACATGCATAGGCTGAGGCACTCTCTGAAGATAATAGTCGAAAAGTTTCTTAAAATTCAAGTCACATGGCAAGTAGACCCTCACGCTTGTCTTGCTTCTACAGTAATGAGATTCTGTACATGTTATGGATTCTATAAATTTTTTTACATAGTTTCTTTTTTCATCATTTTTTGGACCCACTCTATTGCCACCTCTACATTCTCTTGGTAGCTCCCCAGTTATAACAAAATTTCTTACAACTCTTTGTATGCGGTCCTTGCTTAAATTTGTGATTTCTAGAAACGACTTGGCACATACTCTAATCATCTTACCCTCACTCAAACGTACATGGTATTTTACCGACACTGCAGCATGATTAGATTTTCCTCTTTTCGGTTTCTGTCCCTTACAACAAGCCAATATCAGAAGGTCTTGTTTACTTTTATCTTTTGACTGATAAAGGTAGGCATGGAAATCTATCACTTGCTTCATCGTTAGTGTGTTACAATAATACGGCAATCCGGGTCGTCCATTATGACCACAAGTTGGAAAGGCAGGCAGTGCTTTTGGTGTATTTCTGTAACAATACAACTCTTTTAATAAACTTTGTGTGTAGCCCTACTCAACGTTAAGTCACGAAAAAAAGCAAAACTCCATAAAAATCAAACGATTGTCGCACAAGTCTAAAATTATAAATTTTAATATAAAGTACTTACCTAGCAAGTTTATCTATATATATATATATATAATATATATATATATATATATATATATATTTATATTATATATATATATTATATATATATATATATAGTCCCAAGATTCCTAAGAGGAACATAGGGCTTCCACAAAGTGTCTCCAGCGAACTCTATTTTCTGGCTAGTGCTTTGATTTCAAGCCAGGATTTTCCCATTGTTCTCCCTTCGTCCAGTACTGTCCTTCTCCAAGTTCCCTTAGGTCTGCCTACTTTCCGTCGGCCTTGGGGATTCCAATCCAGTGCTGTCCTGGCAATGTCATTTGGCGGTCTACGGAGTGTGTGGCCCAGCCATCTCCATTTTCTTCGCCTTATTTGCTTTATGAATTTTCTTGGTTGCTTTGGTTCCTATAAATTTTCATTGGAGATTCGGTTAGGCCAAAAATATACGAAGGATTTTTCGTAACGCTCTATTAATGAAAACTTGTAATTGGTGTACTATGGGTGCTGATATCTTCCACGTTTCGCAGCCATACAGTAATAACAGCTTTTACATTTGTGTTGAAGATTTTTAGTTTCGTTTTAGTTGGGTAAATCCTGGATTTCCATATGTTGTTAAGCATGTTGTAGGCGTTGCGAGCCTTATTTATTCTTTCATGTACATCACGCTCTGTACCCCCATTACAGTCAATTATGCTGCCCAGATATACAAATTCCGCTACTCTCTCAATTTTCTGGTCGTTGATCATAATAGGTTGGTTGTTTCTGGTACCAAATCGCATTTCTTTGGTTTTGTTGGTGTTTATTTTAGACCAACCTTCTTTGCAAGTTTATCTACATTCCTTTTATGTGTCTCTGGCTGAAGAACTTTTTTGCGTCCTTTTCCCTGTGGACTAGGTTTAACAGAACAACTATTTTCACTTAATAACTCCATAACAATAAAAAAAACTGTTCCTAATTCGCTAAAATACAACTATTTATTCGCTTGAATAATTACAAACTACTGAAAATTCGTTTCTTCAACAGAGCTGTTGTAATAGCGTGTTCGTCACGTGAACTAACCGGCCAATTTCATTGGAGGTAGAGCAAACAGCAAGTTTTGCAGGTAAACGTTCAAAGCAAAGAGAGAGTTCTGCAAATAACTGTAAGTTTCTCTACAGCATTTGTATGCTAAAGAACGAGTTTTGGGAAATTCCAATAGTTCTAGTTTGGTCAGGGTATTTGCCTATTATGATGATATTTCATGTTTTTATATTTTTATTTAGTGTGTTTGTCGCTTCTTCGTAATTGTTAATATTAAATATCTGTTTGTAATGTATATTGCTAAATTAATTCGATTCCATTCTATTCCAAGGGGTTAATATAGCCTACTTCAACTACTCCTTTCTCTCCATTGTATTCATCCTGTAACTCTGTTGACTACATTTCCACGTTTTTTCCGTATGTAAAATCATTGTTTTCATTTGTTACAGAGGCTTTTCTATTCACCCCTTCTGCAACAAAGTGAAAAGAGATCCTTTGCAAACCGAATGCACAGATGATCGGACTTCAGTGGCTCTTTGTAACCTTGTAGAACACAAGGAACCACTTCCAATCATATACCAGGTAAGTTGCACCCATACAAGTTGGCTGAAATAATTTGATATTAATATGAAACTGGCTACAATGTTTCCAATTTATTTACAGAACTTTGATAGCCTCCAGCACGTTGACAGCGGCAAGGAAGGATTTTATGGAGGGTCGATATCACTGGCTGATTATTGTCCTTACATTCAGGAGTTCACGTGGCGATCTAAAAATGTAGTTGTGCGTGGATCTCACTGCCAGTATTCAGAAAATAATCCTAGTAAGTAAAATAATTTGCTACCTATAGAATATAGTACTATAAAAATACTGTTTTTATTTCTCGCCTTAACATGTTTCACTAAACAGTAGTTCCATAAGAATTCTTCCGTTTTTCTGGAAATATAATTTCCAGAAAGAATATAAAAAAAATTGAGAAAATCGTAATTTGATTATGATTGATTTCATTTAAACTTATTTAAAAACTGCAATATATTGTTTACTTTATTATACAAGATAATTAATTGTTTATGCATTACTTCTTCATACAGGGTGGTCCTTAAGTAATTGTACAAAAAGAAACCGTAGATTCTACACTTTAAAATATTACGATTTAAGCCAAATTGCTTTAATAAAATGTTGATATTAAGAAAGATACAGGGTGTTAAAGTGGAAATTTAAAATTTTAATTTTCGCTATAACTTTTATAACTCCGCCTGGGATACCGTGGGAAATCACAGTGTCACAGCCGGTCCTAAGCCCGGATAAAGGAGGAAGGTTGGGCAATGGCTAGTCACCCATTACTGTAGAACAAACCCCGACTACGAAACCTATACAAAAGCCTCGGTTAGGACGGTCTTATCGACGACGACTCAAGCAAAGAAATATGGACTACTCATTTGGAACATGGAACGTCTTAACCCTAAATAAACCAGGAGCCCAAACATCGCTGCTTAACGAACTTAAAAAATATAAGATACAATTAGCCGCAATACAAGAAACAAAATGGCTAGGCAATGGAATAAAAGACACAAAAACGCACACAATACTCTATAGCGGCAAAGAAAATGGAAAGAAAGAATTTGGAGTGGCTTTCGTAGTAGATAAGAACATCAAAAACAATATCTTAGATTTCGAAGCAATAAATGAGAGATTATGTAGATTGAGGCTAAAAACAAAATTTTTTAACCTCACAATCATTAATGCCCATAGTCCAACAGAAGAACACGACATAACAATAAAAGAGGAGTTCTACGATCAATTAGAAGAAATATACGACAATGCCCCAAAAAATGACATCAAGATAATATTGGGTGACATGAACGCCCAAATAGGCAAAGAAGAACAGTTCGCAGGAATAATCGGCAAACACTCACTCCATCAAAACACCAACGAGAACGGGGAATTCCTAATTAATTTTGCCAGCAGGAAAAACATGATCGTGAGCTCTACGTTCTTTGCTCATCGGGATGTACACAAAGCAACGTGGATCATGCCAGGTGGAGCGGTTACTAACCAAATTGACCATGTCTTAATAGACAAAAGAGCTGCCACCAACATCCTAGATGTAAAAAGTCGAAGAGGAGCATGCTGTGGATCTGATCACTTGCTGGTACAAGCAAAATATAGATGCAGGATCTCAAGAAACAGAGATAAGAAAGAACAGATAAAAGAGCAGTTGGACATTGATAAACTAAGCCAACAAAACGTTAAACTGAGCTACGAGACAGAAATAACCCAGACACTTACAAACACAGATAACCTAGACATTGAAGAACATTGGAAACAAATGAAGACAAAAGTATTAAATGCAGCAACAAAGACCATCGGTAAAAAGGTAAAGAAGCAAAGGGCAGAATGGTTCAACGAAGAGTGTAGACGGGCCATACACGAACGAAATGAAGCTCACAAGAAATATATGGAAAGGCGAACCAGAGAAAGAAGAACATTTTTCGAGGAGCTACGACGCAGGGCGGATAAAATATGTCGAGGAGAAAAAAGAAAATGGGAAAATAATAAGATACAGAAAATGGAACAAAACCTCCAAAGCAACGATCTAAGGGAGGCATATAAATATCTTCGACAACTAAGAGAAGGATACAAACCCCGAACAAGTCTGTGCAGAAACCAAACAGATAAGATAATTAGTGAACCAACGCAAATAAAATCAGTTTGGAAAAGCCATTTCCAAGCTCTGCTAGGAGCACAAGGAAGCTCACGATCTTCGGATACGCGGCACATCGAGGAAGGAGACGAAGAAATAAGCAGCCCGACTCTTAAAGAAGTCAAACAAGCAATACAGGCGCAAAGAAACAACAAAGCGCCGGGATTTGACGATGTCCCTTCCGAACTGTATAAATTAGGTGGCGAACATCTAACAACGCAGGTGCACGCGCTCATATCTAAGGTATGGAGGGAAGAAAAAATTCCTAGCGATTGGAAAAATGGGATTATCTGCCCAATCTACAAAAAAGGGGACAAACTTAAATGCGAAAATTACCGCGGCATAACCCTCCTATGTTCGGCCTACAAAATTTTTACATCCATCCTGAATAGGCGACTTCAACCATTATGTGAAAATATTATCGGCGAATACCAGACCGGTTTTCGACAAGGCAGGTCGACAATAGATCAGCTTTTTACAGTAAAGCAAATCCTTAATAAAGCTTGGGAACACGATATTGATGTTCACAATATATTTGTCGACTTCAAACAGGCTTATGACTCCATAAATAGAAGCCGGTTATATAACATCATGGAAAGCTTCAATATTCCCTCGAAATATATCCGACTAGTAAAAGCAACGATGGACTCCACAATAGCAACTGTACGCATACAGTACGAATTAACTGACAGCTTCGAAATAGTTCAAGGGCTGAAACAAGGTGATGGACTAGCTCCAACACTGTTCAATCTGGCCCTTGAATATGTCATCAGAAAGCTGAATGTCGGAAGAGCCAATCTCCTAACAAACAAATCTGTCCAGCTCGCCGCATATGCGGATGACATTAACCTCATGTCCCGCAGAGTGGATGATGCAGCAGAAACATATTCGCAGCTGAAAAAAACGGCCAAGGAGATTGGACTTGAAATAAATACACAGAAGACAAAAATACTAACACAGACGCGGACAAAGCGAACAAGAAATCAAATCAAAGTAGAGGATGACATTGAAACAGTGAAGAGTTTTACTTATCTGGGAGTCGAAATGAATACGGAGGGAACAGAAGAGGCCGAAATTCAGAAGAGAATAATGAAGGGAAATAAAGCCTATTTTTCCCTGATTAACATATTCCGCTCCAAGACGGTACATCGAAAATCGAAACTTAAGGTCTATAAAACTATCATCAGACCGATAGTATGCTATGGATGCGAGACATGGGTTTTGACAGAAAGCACTAAACGAAGATTAGAGGTTTTCGAGAGAAAAATCCTAAGGAAGATCTTTGGACCCATCACTCAAAATGGGATGTGGAGATCTAGATATAACCATGAACTCTACCAACTGTTCAAAGAAGCACCTATTGCAGAGTTCGCTAGAGTACAAAGGCTTCGATGGGCTGGTCATGTGGTACGGATGGATGCCGACAGATTGCCGAGAAAGGCCTTGGATGGTAAAATGCAGGGCAGAAGACCAAAGGGAAGACCACGTAATAGATGGGAGAACGAAGTCACAGCAGATGCGCACAACTTACTGAACGTCAGGGCTTGGAGACGAGTGGCGCGGGATCGCCTTTGTTGGAGGCAGAAGTTACAGGAGGCCAAGGCTCAATTTGGGCTGTAGCGCCATTGGAAGAAGAGAGAGAAGAAGATAACTTTTATGTTTGTGAACATTTATATATAAAAATTCATAACTGGGTACTATTAAACATCAGTAATTATAATTTGATGCACACTTTAATGTAGCTGATAGAGGGCGCCACATATGTGGCATACATTTGCACTTAACTTTTTTGTTCTTTAAGTTAGCGGTGTTTATGATAAAAAATATTAAAGATTTTGTAATTTTTTTTACGGACATGCGAATTACCTTGTAATTTGAATGGTGAGATTTGTTTACATTTTTTATAAAATTATTTTATTGATTTATTGGAAGAATTGTCATCAAACTTAAGGCGAAATATGTGGTTTATGCAAGATGGTACACCACCACATTATAGATAGAGGGCAGTGAGAACATACTTAAATACTACTTTCCTAAACGTTGGATTGTTCGTGGTAGTCATATGCCTTGGTGAGATATTAATATAATTATTTAATTCATAAAAAATCCCAAAAGAGTACTTATTAATATACTTATAATACTTATAATAAATACTGCAGCAGTTTCTGTAGAACCAATGATGCAATTTAATATGAGACGATCTTTTTTGGAATGTATTAACAAATGAATTAAAGAAAATGCGGACATATCGAACATTACTTTGACAAAAAGTATAATGTTATTTAGTTTAACTATTCTTAATTAGGTTTATAAATAAAATATTTTGATTATGACTTTAATTTAATACAAAACGTAAACTGATTGATTGATGTAAAATCCAATCATTCTGTTATTTTGTCAAATCCTATTGCAAATTATCCTGCTGATATATTTATTTTATTTAATATTTCGTTGAATATTAACTTTATTAAAGGCATTTTATACCAAAATTCAGAAATATTGTTGTTTTTCTCTAATTTCTTTCGTTGTCTGATTTCATAGAGATTTCGAAATCAAAATTGTCATAACTTGTTAAATGAGTGGCTTCAGATTAAAGACATGTGTCAAAAAAATAAAAATTTATTTAGTAGTGGTTTCCCATAGAATTGTTCCTGTTCTTTTCAACGGTGATGATTGTTTCCTTTCAACACGAACGCAAATACGTCATTTTCAACTTTACAGTTAAAGATCTGTTTCAAAAATGAACTCCTGCTATGAAGGAACGGACATCTCCCCAACAACCAATGAGAATGCTGTATTGTGATCACATTACTGAGAAATCAACAATGGCCGCCATTATTTTCAACTGCATCTGATGTTAATCGTTTTATTTATGTTTATCAGTAGTTTAAACTATTTTTTTTTGACGCGTAAGAGGAATAGAGATCCCGAAAAACGGAAAAAACATCCGGAAACGACAAAGGTAATAAATCATTGAACTAAATCATGTACTTATCATTTGATTAAAAGCAAGCAAGATGCGTTCATTTTGAAATACTGTCGGTTGGCCTACCAAACCCAAAAGAAAGAAACTTGAACCTATAAAGGGGAATACCACAATCTTCCAATATTCGGTTGTA